TCTTGCTGCTGCGGCTGCTTCCTCTTCTTTCTCCTTCTCTGCTTTGGCTGCTGCTGCGGCTGTCTCCTTCTTCTCTCTTTCTTCTCTTTCTGCTTTGGCCTTTGCTGCTGCTTCAACTTCTCGCATTCTCTCTGCGGCTGCGGCTGCTTCCTGCTTTGCTGCTTCTTTGTCTCTTCTTTCCTGCTTTTCTGCTGCCGCTTCCAAGATCAACCTTGCTTTGGCAATCTGCTCCTCTGCTGCCTTCTTCTTCTCCTCTGCTGCTGCTCTTGCCTCTTGCTGTTCCTTTGAGATCCTGTCCTGTTCTGCCCAGTATTTGCGATCTTCTTCATCTCGAGGTTGAAATCCTGCGCTTTCTGCTCGCTGCTTTGACTTTCCTCTTCCTTTTCCTGCTTTTGCGCCTTTCTCCTTTCCTTTTGTTCCTTTCTCGTGCTTGTACGTGTAGTCCTTGTCGATCCACTGCTTCTCTCCTGTAACTCTGTGCTCTCGGTAGATCGAGCCGTTCTCAGAGTATTCCTTCCACTCGTTGCTGTAGTCGTAGGGGTACGGGAAAAGTTTCTTTTCCTTCTCCATTTCCTCAAGCCTTGCTTTGCTCTTGGCATTGATCTCCTTGATCTTCCGTTTCCTTGCTTCTTCTTTTGCTTCTTCGCTTTCCTCTTCTGCTGCTGCTGCTGATGCTTCTGCTTCCTCTGCTCCTTCGGGGTACTCCCCGGGATCTCCTCCAACGTAGCTGTCCACGTAGGTCTCGTTCTCGTTCTCGCCGAAGTAGTCGTGGTCCTCGTCGTCTTCCTGAAGTGTCTCAAAGTAGCCTTTGTCTGACCAGTTCCTTATGTCCTCTTCTCCTTTGTTATCCTGGGAGGTAGGTGACGTAGCTCTCGACGGTGCTGTACCTGGTCCATGTCCTTCACGACGTAGTTCTGCTTCTGCTTCTCTGTCCTTGGCTTCTCTTTCTCTTTGTTCTTCTTCGTCTTCTTCCTGCTCCACGTAGAAGTCGTTCACCAGGTTCTGTACCTGCTCTTTCAAGCTGTCACACGTCTCGAAGACATAGTCCATGCGTTCTCTGGCCTCTGTGCGGTCTCTTTCGTTCTGCTCGGCCATTTCCTGAACCTGAAACTTGACGTCCTGAATTTGTCCTGTCAGGGACTTCACGCAACCAGCCACGTGTTCCTGGGATTTGCGCAATCGCGCCGACTCTTCTGTGTTCTTCCTGATCGACTCTGCGATCTCGTTCCTTTCTGCGCTTGCTTTCCTTAGTTCTGTGGCGGCTTCCTTTAGTGCTTCAAGTTCCTTGAGAACTTCACTTCCGCTTCGGGAAGAGCTGGCACTAGCTTCCATGGCTGAGGCTGAGGTTCCTTGACCTTCTGCTACTGGCTTGACTATTCCTTGCACGCCTGAGCGTTCCGCGAGTGTTTCGCAGAATTCCTTGAGCTGTGAAAGCATCTCAAAACATGAGGTTTCATGCGCTGTTCCTGCAGACTTTCCTAGCTCACATGCACTCGTGTCACTGCACATGCCGTCCTGTGCACATGCACTTGCACAACAGAAAACATGTTCCTGAAACTCTGGCTGAAACTCTTCCTGAAGAAAACAACTCTCAAAACTTTGTTCCTTGCAACTCTGAATTTGAAGACTGTCTGAAATTCCTGAAATACCTGCAAACAACAAAGCTGCAAACGACAAAGTTCCTGGGCTCTTAATCATCCTTACAACTGCTTTGGCTTGTGTTTGGGCCTTGTGTTCCTTGAGCTCTTCTCGGCCTACTGGTTCGTTCTCTCCTGTTTGGAAACCTAGCCAATGCAACAGTAATCTAATGCGCTTCGCTGAAAGGGGCTTGGTTCCTATGTCGGCTGTGTTTTCCTTGGTTCCTACAGGGTGCACACTGATTGTTCCTTGCTTGTGGAGGTCCTGTAGAAAAAGGGTCCTGATCTGGAGGTGCTTCACTCTTCCTACACCTTGCCTTGTAATGATGCCTCTAGCTGCTGAAGAATCCATGTATAAGTGTACCTTGCAGATTTTCCTTGTCAAGAATTCTACTGCTTCCTTCAACAATATAGAATCCGATGCCGCGCTAGCTCCTGCGTAGTACTCTGCTTCACCACTGCTCAAGCTGACTGACTTCTGGTTCCTAGAAAAGGAATAGATACACTGGCCATCTAAGCAAACAATTCCTGAAGATGTTGAGCGCCTAGTGTCCTTCTTTCCTGCCCAATCTGAGTCGCTATAGACTTCCAAGAGATGGTGTTCCTTGGGCTGTGTTCCTGTAAAGTCGTAGTTTCCGTTCCTGATGGACTCATGGAGGTTGCTGAGTCCTCGGGGCGTTTTCCTGTAAACTAAATGGTATCCTTCAGTCTTGCTCATGTACTGCACTAGATGAACGAGGTGCTTCCAAGAACCATGCGAAGGTTCCTGCATTCTTGAGGCTAATCCTCTCACAGCAAATTGTACATCAGGGCGATCCTGACTGACATACAAAAGTATGCCAACGCATTTCCTGAACGATGCCGCTTGTTCCTGGTTCAGACTTTGGGTGTTGTCCTGTTCCTGCGATTCCTGAGTGCAAGGAGTTGGCTTTGAGGCTTTACTGGTAAGCTTCAGTTCTTCCTTGAGCTTCACTAGATACTTCGGGTCACTCGTGATATGCAGCTCATGATTGTGGTAGCTGAATTTCCTTTTGAGGAATCTGATGGTTTGATGTGACTCTCCTACTTCAAGTTCCTGTTCTGTCAAGAAGGGGCCTTCAACCTTCAGTTCGTAGGTCTCTCCTAGCTTTCCTAGCTTGGGCTCTAGGTGCCTGGTTTTCCCTGCTGCTTGAATGTCGTCCACATGCACAACAAGTATGCTGTTCCTATCATCACGAAACAAGGTAGGGCACGCAATGCACCTATCAAAGTTCTGCTCTTTAAGTGTTCCTGCAAAATGGTCACTCCAAAGAAGTGCTGCATCTCGCTGTCCTGGAAGTACTCTAAGCAGTAACAAACCTTCATTCCTACAGTTAGGATCTTGGTCGCCAAACAGATCCACATACTCCTTTGGGAATTGACATGCGCAACGGGTTCTCTGTGGTACCTGTAGAAATGCGTCCTTGACGTCAATCGAGTACAGGGCATGTTCCTGTTGTAATCCCAAGATAGGGATAAGTCTCACCAATGACGCGCTTGTAGCTGGGCTGAAAGTGTCATTCCTGACTTCTACACCTCGAAACTCTCTAGCCACTAACCTGGCTCTACGCATCCATCTGCCGTTCCTAAATCTCCAGTCAAAAACAAACTTCGTTGTGAGCCACTTTGTTCCTTGGTCTCTCTCTTCTTCTTCTCTCTCTCTTGGTTCTTCTCTCTCAAGTTCTTCCAAGGGTTTCCTTGCCAATGCCTTCATCTCTGTGAGTCTGTTGATCTCCGTGATCATCGCCTCGCGGTCCAGTTCCTGCAACTGTGCCTCTGGGACTTCTGGAGGTCCTGAGTCCTCGCTTTTGAAGATATCTTCTTCACCATCTGAGTCGCCAATGTCTGAGTAAGAATCTTCCCAGAAAATGTCTTCTGTACCTGGTTCTGCTTCAGGTAGTTCCTCGTCGTTGTGCTCGTAAACTCTTCCTACGTTGAACGGAGGGTACCTTTTCTTGGGAGAATCTATCTTCGGAATCTTGGAACCTGTTCCTACATCTTCAAACTCTTGCTTCCTATAAGCGGTGCCGGTCCTCTAGCTGACAGTAGTTCACTGGCCATTGCACTGTCTGGAATAAGTTCTGGTTCTGAGGCTGCGTCCATTTCCTTGTTGCTGCTACTGCTCGAAGACGTTGGGTCCGATGCTGCTTCATCTTGGTTTTCATCAAGATACTCTTGCTCGAGTTCTTCTTCTGCTTTCCTTTTGCTTTGTGCTTGCTTGGCTTTGTTCTCTAGATAAGTTGACCTAGTAGGTCCTGATCTTCCTGCAGGGTCCCCGCCTTGGATGACAACCGGTCCTGATGGCGCCGAAGGTGCCAATTCCTGAGCAATCTGTTCCTTAGTTCCGGGTCCATCCATGATCGGTGGTGCCTCTGCAAGTGGTCCTGGGATGTTCTTCCTTGGGATGTTCCTGGTCGTAAGGGTAGTGTGCTTGACTTCCCAAGTATGAATTCCTACGCTGCTTATTCCTTTGATGTCGAAATGTTCCAAACAGCGTTTTGCGCTGCGGCTTGTCTTGATGCCGTCCATGTGCCATGTAATGAAGAGTTTCTCTGGTCTCCTTGCAGGTTGTATTTCCCAAAATAGGTATTTGGGATAATCAAAGATATCGCGATCAATAAAAATTTATTCGCAATCATAATCTGAGAAATCTTCGGACATGTGAATCAAGCTTGCAATCACTCGGACCACTCTTTTTCTTCCTAAGACTTCAGCGGGGGTAAAACACCGGGTCCGATGGCACAATAGGGCGAGATCAGCCCCGATGGCAAGTGCAGCCATCCACGAGCAACCATCTCCCCCAGTTTAACAAAGACCGTATTGAACCAATGCCGGGTGGGTGGGAGGTCAAAAATTTTTCTTGCTAAGCGAACACAGCTTGAGCATCACCACCGGCGTGACATGATTCAAAATCGCACTGAGGAAAACATTGCATGTGAGACGTTGAAAATAAAAAGCCAAAATGTGTTGGAAACATGACAACGAAAAGCTGCAAGTTCGCTTCGCCTTTGGCTTCGCTAGACCAGGATAAACATTACTGCGCTCCGCTCCGTGGGTCGTTTCTCTGGTCTCCTTGCAGGTTGTATTTCCCAAAATAGGTATTTGGGATAATCAAAGATATCGCGATCAATAAAAATTTATTCGCAATCATAATCTGAGAAATCTTCGGACATGTGAATCAAGCTTGCAATCACTCGGACCACTCTTTTTCTTCCTAAGACTTCAGCGGGGGTAAAACACCGGGTCCGATGGCACAATAGGGCGAGATCAGCCCCGATGGCAAGTGCAGCCATCCACGAGCAACCATCTCCCCCGTCCCGCGAGCTGAGCTGCACTGGCCCTGGTTCATTGCAAAGCTGAGCATGTCCAGTCAGCCTCCAGTCGCGTGGAGGTCAAGATTGCCTGAGCCGTATGAGCACTGTAGTCAGCAGCACAAAGGAAATCAAGCATCGTAGGGGTCAATGCGATGTCACCTTTGTTCTCAACTGCGAAGCGTTTGCAAGCCTCTTCGAAAGCTCCCCGTGACGGGAGATCGGCAGGGTTACTCTTTGAGGGCACTCGCTCGAACCAAAGTAGGGCCTCGAGAGACCCCTCCAACAGCGCCACCAACGAGATTAAGCGAAGAAGGCTCAAGGATGGCGAGTACCGCTTGATGAAGCCATATCTGCATGCTTCGTTGTCGATGAAGGCTATGACCGACCTGCCTTTCAAGAAACCCCTAAGACCGAAGATCAAAATTGCAAGAGCGTAACCCTCAACTTGGCAAATGATCTGATTTCCGGCCTGCCGCTCCCAGAGGTCTTTGAGCTGCTGGCAGACGGTCCCGCCAAAGGTCCACCGAGCTCCGGTGACCCCATCTACAATGACGGCGCCCCAAGTCCCAACGCCTTTCTCGTATGCCCCATCGGTGTACAGGATGATGGGTGGCTTCACCGATGCAGGGCACCGCTTGGGGCGACATTGCGACAACACGTCCAAGGCCAACGCACAAGCATGCTGCAACTCTGTTGTGTTGCCTCGGAATGGGCCTGTCAGGGCTCGCGACAGCATACGCGAGGTAGCCTTAAGCTCGAACCCTAAGATCAAACCCCCGGCAAAGTTGAGCAGGCCGTGTAGGGAAGCCACATCTGATCGGGTGATCTCGTCTCCTTGCGAAATCCGCTTCAGCTGCTGAACGATGCGCTCAAGTCTGCCCGCCTTGTTCTCCACAGTCAAGGTTCCTTGCCAAATTTCCTCAAGCCCCAAGGTTACACCTAAGGAAGTTACCTTTTCGGCAAAAGGCACAAACTTGCGCCCGGAGCGCGCGAAGGTCCAGCCCAGGATGTCCAGCAGCCGCATGAGGGCTTTATCCAGCAAGGAAGCAGCAGGCTTAAACTCGTAGATGGTGTAATCATCGTAAAAGTCCGTGGCGATTGCCATGAACTTCACTGTCATGATGTGCAGAACCCCTAGGGCAACCTTATTAAACCCGAAGACGCTCGCGCCGGCCCCAAACGGGAGGCTCCTCGTGATGTAGTACTCCCAGCCACCAGCGGGCGTAGGGAAACCCAGCACTGAGAACTCCTTGCAGTCAGGGTGGATTGCCAGTTGACGATAGGCCTTGCTCAAATCCAGCGTCTTGCCCAACAGGGGAGGGGCCGACAGCATCTCAGGCGCCCAGTTGCCTTCCAAGACCGAGCCATCAAGCAGAGGCACCCTTACTCGGGAGCGATCCTGAAGAACCCTCGAAAGGAATCTAAGCAAACCCACTGCGAAGTCCGTGTCCTGCAACTCGAGGAACGATGAAGATCCGAAGGCACGGTTAACAGCTGACATTTTGAAGTCATCTATTATCCTAATCTTTGCGTCCTCTCCCTGCCTCAGGAGGAAGCGGGGCGAAAGAGACCAGTTTGTGGTCCCCAGCACTTTACTGACCTCGGACTCGGAAGAGTACGGTCCACTCAGGAAACCAGCTTTGACCTCTTCGTCCGTCTCCGCCCGCATGGCGGCGTAGTCCTCCTGAGAGACGAGTTTTCGCGTGCGCTGTAGAACGTCCCTCCTGAGAGCTGACTGGGCCCGCAGTTGGTCCGGGCTGATCTCCTGCGGCTTCGGCCGTTTGGCAAAGAGGGCCGAGTCTTGCTCTTGGCCCACAAGTGGCACGCCTTTCACAAGCAAATCGATTACGGACATGTCTGCAAAGGCGGTTTCCTCAAGCAGTTCCCTGAACAAGGAGATCGCTTTCCCCCTGGTCACGGATTCAACATCGGGGTGCATGCTCTCGCGAAGCGTTCTTTCTTCATCTGCAAGCTCCTGCACTCTTCGGTTCAGCTGCTGAAGAGCGAGAAGCCTTTTCTTTGAGATCGCCACGGGTCCTTCGGTCAGCATGGCGAAAATGTTCCGCCTGATCTGATCTGGAAGCCTCTCGCTTGTATCAGCTGGACTGCACAAATTTGAGGCAAGACGAAGGTGCTCTTCCATGGTGTGGTAAACACCAGCCACTGCACCTACTCGGGGAGCCGAGGACTTAGGGGGAGAACCATTAAGCCTAAACCGCTTATCCGGCTCATCCAATTCCCCCGGTGTCGAGCCGACTTTGTCCAAGATCTTGAAATCAGCATTCGAAGGCACTTGGGACAAAGGGGTTACCACCCGAAACTCAGGAATTAGGGGTGGCGTGAAATGAGACTGATTGGCCGCGGCGGCCCTGACAGCAGCCCGGAGCTGACGGCAGCGGCCTGCTGCACGGTGCTTAGTTGATCCGGTGACGAGCTTGGTGGCACACTCGCACAGGCGTTGGCACAAACCATGGGGCAGGGAAGCATCGTTGAAGGTGCCACCGGCCGGCGAAGGCAGCCAAGCTTGATGCTTATGTGATTTGTCACACGTAGCAGAGATCTGCGGGAAAGCTCCGGGCGTGGCTTTGACCTTGAGTGAGGTAAGAAAAGGCGACCCGAACATGCAAGTGTCAAGCTCCTGGTCTTCCAGGGTGAAGAACCAGTCAATGAAGTCTTTCGATTGGGTGGATTTCACAGTGCTCGCTAGGAGGCTCCAAACCCAGCTCCTGGCAGGCCCGATGAGTGAGACGAGGGCTCCGGTTTGATGAGCTCGTTGCAAGGCTGAAACAAGGGCCCTGCAAACCTTGTTGTCACGGTGCACCAGGTCCTGGGCTCGAGGGGCAAGTTTAGGGCAACCGAAAATGCAGTCAGCTCTCCGCAAAGGTTGTTTGGAAGATCCCCGATCCAACCGAACACAGGATTTGAGGAAGAGGTGCCCGTGCCACCAATCAACAGCTGCCGACGAATCAAATCGGAGAAGTGCCTGCACGTTTTCCTCCTCAGAGAGATCCAAATGCAACATAGGCGAGCCGTGGGGATCGTGGGGGCCTTTACCTACCGGAATCGCGTCCCATCCGGTGAGGAGGGCCTCTGCTGCTAAGGGACCACGACAGGCCAAGCACTCTACCATGGACGGCGGACGACTTTCGTGAGTCGGCTTTCCCAGGGCACCCGGGTCACTGCCGGTTTGAGGTTTGTCTGGAAACGGCAAGAGGCGCTGCTTCGCTTCACCCAAGGAAATAGGCTCGGATTTGCAGACTTCGACGGAGCTGAGCTGTCGCGGAGTGGGCAGAGGGAAGCCCAAACGTTTCAAGCAAAGCTGATCATCGGCAGAAGCATGCGAAGCTGCTTTAAGGGAAAAGAGCACAAGCACGGCTCGTCGCCCGTGCGCTTGACAAGTTGAGTGCGGGTGCTGCCTAGCACAAAATTGCACCGGTCCTTTCGAAACCTCAAGGTCGATCTCGCGGTTGGGTTCCAAGACCTTGATGGCCCCCCCAGTGAATGCAGTCAAAGGAATCACTATGTTTGGCAAAAAGGCATTCTGCTTGTCCCGGTGCTCCCGGGTCTGTACTCTGGAAAATATGGCAAAACTCGTGTAAACTGCGCCGTCAAGCAAATGAGCTACAAACTTATTCACCGCCTGCACAGAAAGTGGAAACAGCTTGCAGGCCTTGCGGAGGCCCACTTGGACTCGTGAGTAGAGTCCTGCAGAGAAGGAAAAACCCGAAGCACTCCGATCGCACTGGTCGTGTGGCAACGCGTCAAACAAAGCGGTCACCTGCGAGGCTGATATGGGCTCACTCTGCTGCAAAAGTTGTTTGGCAAAGACTTCGGGCTCACTTGAAGCCCCCGAACACAAATTTGGAGAACTGTCATTGGCTGCCTCGCCTGCGGATAGTCAATGTTTGCACTCGATGTACGGCCTCTCAGCCCCACAGCCTTTGAAATTGCACACATGCTTCCCGAACCGGCACGACTTGCGCTTCTGGAATCGGCAGATGCCCTTATTGTAGAAAGGGCAGATGAAGCGACCTTCATCAGTGGCTCGCACACAGCCCTCTGGCAGAGATTCGAGCAGCTCCTTCAAGGAGGTTGTCGGGGCGGCTTCCGCACCGGATTGGCTATGGTTTTGCTTGCCCTTGCCCTTGCCTCCGCCCTTGTTTCCCTTATCCCCCTTCTTGCCGAATCCTTTACCGGGCTTGTTTGGCAGCCATGTGGGAGCGGGAGCTTCCAAGGGCTTGGGCAGGTGAGTCAAGCATGACACGACAAACTGATTGGTTGCAGCAGCGGCTATGTGCTTGTCAAGAGGGGCCGGGGCTCCGACCCCGACGACGATGTCACCTCGGCTCTCCTGGGCCACCACCTGCCAAAGCTTCTGGTCAGCTGCAAGCAGCTGCTGAACGGTAGTGTAGCGATAACCTGCCGGAGGCACATCAAGCAGAGCCTGGAACATGCGGTTGTGCCAAGACTCCAATGCAGTGAAGGAGGCGAGCCCTACTTGATCGAATGCTAAGGCCCGGCGCAGGAAGCACCGGCGAAGCTTGAGCTCGCCGGTAGTCTCGCAACGGAGGCTCGAGGCTTGCTTCGTGACCTTGATGTTCCCGTCGGCTCCCAAAGAGATCTTTTGTTCCGTCTTCTCACCCAGGATTTCGTCATGGCGGGAAATGCACTTCTCCGGCGCGATGTGCAGCACTTGTGCAGAATCGAGCATGGCCTGGACGCGGTCCACAAGGCCGTGTCCAGGTTCTGTGTGGATATCCATCTCGAGGCCTTTAAGCTCGCCCCTTTGGCGTTTCAAGCGTGTTAGGCGTTCAGCCAACGGAAGCTCGCGGGGGCTTGTATCACTTGTTCTCGAAGCCCTCGATTCCAAGTCAACCAGGGCGTGGGCGTGGCTCTCGTACCACAATCTCCTGATCACCATATGTTGTTCCACTGGAACCTCACTCCCGATCAGAGTCTTCAGGGCTTCGAAGAGAGGAGTGTCATCCCCGCTGGAAGGTTTGCTCGAGCACACGAAAGCTAGCTTGCCGAAGGTGTCCAAGCTCTTAGCAAGGAGCTTCTTCAGAAGGTCCTCGCTGATGCCGATCTGCTTTGCTCGGTCGGTGAAGGCAGGCACCGATTCAAGTCCGGCCATGAGACCTGGGCAGGTGAGGATACAGGTTTCGAGGTTCTCACCCACGGCGAAGTCAACCGTGGGTCGAGTTTGTCTCGGATTCACACTTCTTCGCCACCGATCACAGGCGGCCTTCGTGAACCGGCGATCCCAGCCGGTCGCGTTCCAATAGTATTTTTCATGACTCAGGCCGGCAAAGGCAGCCGACCACGGGGGTTCTTGCAATCTCAAAGCCCCCAATCAAACTCCCGCTAAGTTCAAGCTTGGGTGCTCACCAGGCCGCGCGGGAGATTCGCCCCAGTTTGGCAACTCCCAGCCAAAAGACTGCGGACACTTCCCAGTCCGGTTTTGTGCTCCGAAGCAAGAAACACTCTAACTGATCTCAATCGGCCCGAGCACCCTCATCTCAAATGGCATAGGCACGACGTCGCAAATCAGCAAAAGATCAACTGAGCACATCCTCTTTTCTTCAAGCTGCGCACTGCTGGCAGACATTCTCCTGAGCCTCCTCGGGCCCCATCAAACGCATGTTCGCCGTGACCTTCCTGCCGCACTTAAAAATTCCGGGGTTGACCAACTTATGCACCACTCCACTCAAGACGTGCATGTAGGTCTCTCCCGAGAACGTGCTGCTAAGCCGAGGACGGACCTCCTCCGGGGCCGGTGCTCCCAGGTCCACTTCGAGGCCGCCGAGGTTTGTTATGTCGGACCCAGCCTCGGAGTTGTTCTCATCCTGAGGCTCTTCGGCCGGCAAATCCTCAGCCGTCGTCTCAGGAAGATGCGCAAAATCGGCCGGATCGCCATGCAGAGCTCTTGCGACTCTCTCGGCTCGCGGGAGGTCGGGACTAAGCACTCCCCTGCTCACAGCACTCACGACCTTGGCCACCTTCACTATGATTTCTGCAAGCGCATCTCTCGAGTACAGGAGAGCCATGCCGTGCTTTGGACTGCAATGATGCCCCTGAGTAAGGCGCTCCTCGTAGGTCATGGTCCCGCTCTTGGCCGTCCAGGACAGGGCGGTTGCTTTCAGGCTGTGCGAGCTGTACTGTTCAAGATCTCCCGTGAAACCCTGCAAGTGCAAAAACTCACGAAGCCACAAGGAACCCTCCGCAGCCGTCATGGCCCTTCCTAGAAAGTTCCCTCCCGGCGACATGGCCGGCATGATTACGGCACAGTCCGGTAGCCCTGCCAGGGCCCTCTTGCGCATCCAGACACGTCCCCACGAGGGCTGAGTTAAGCCACTGCCCAGTGCAATCAAAGGCAGCACGGTATCCTTTCGGTCCTTGGCCTTCGTCTTGTAATGTTTTGTCGAACACTCAAGAAGGACAAGCCCGTTACCTGCCACGTCAATGCTCAAGTCAGTCCCTCGAGCTGCATCCGACCATCGAGCCGAGGAGTAGAGGCAGAAAAGAATGAACCCTGCTATGCTAGCCCTGGCATAATCCTCAGAGTCGTGGACGAATTCTTCCAAGAGCCGCACTGCCTCCACCGGAAGGGGCGGTGCTTGCCAGAGCGGCCGTTTGGCCATGGACATCGCCTTGGCTGCTCCCTGCACACGAGGGGAAATCCTGGAGCCTTGCGCAGCCCCTGTCAAGTGCACAAAGAACCTATAGGCCTTGAGAAAAGACTCGCCGGCAGTGGCTCCTGCTTTCTCCCGTCGCAAGTGAAGCATATAAGCGTACAACTCGCTCTCGGAAGGCGCCAGAGGGCGCCCTTTGCTAGCTACGATCCACTTGGCGAACCTTGAGAAATCTGAGGCACGCTTCAGAAGGGTGCTGGCGGCTCTGCCTGAAAAGGTGTCCTCGATGGTCGAGGTCAGCATGGATTCCTCCACCAGGGAGCCTGCAGAACCCACAAGGTTCCTTCCAAGCTCCGAGTCATCCGGGAAGAAAAGCACGATGAGCCGAATTTTCTTAAGTGCGGTAAGCCTAAGCATGTCATCGCTTTTGGCAAACCTTGCTGCGAGAAGTCGCCTGGCCTCGTAAGTTCCTTTGGGCACCCATGCCCACGGCCCTGCTGCAGGGGCGGGGATCGCCGCCCTCCTAAGACCGTCGAAGCGACCTAGCAACGGCTCCTGGAACATGAAGCCGGGCCCCAAGCGGGGCCTCGTCACTCTTTCCCACGGCATCGCCTGACGGGAATGCCTTGCAAGAATGAAGCCTGAGTTCATGGCATGCCAATCACCTGCACTGCCGCCGTAGGCAATGAAGCCTGCAAGCTGCTGTTCCAAACGGCCTGCAGTCGGGTCGTCGTCAGGGGGAAGTTGTGTGTCCTCGCGAGACATCAGGCTCCCCAGTTGCTCCTCAGTAAGATCATCGCCCTCGACGGGGCTGCTCATGAAGGCCGCTAAGGGACCCTGATCAGGTGTGCCCTCGACCACAGCCGAATGCGGAGATATTGGGCTGGCAGGTATGGCAGACAGAGGGACCTGCTGACCTGATTCCACAGACTGCGAGACGGCCCCCTCATCTGGATAAAAAGCTTCAGCACTCATCCCCCGCAAAAGAAGCTTAAGACTCGGAGCGAAACACCTGATGCAATCGCTGCACAAGCCTTTCCAACCACCCCAGGCGGAGGGAATGTTGGTACCTTTCAGTTTCCAGGCCCCGGAGCTCGCGCTGGACGTCGCTGAGCTCTGCACGGACGGCACGCAACTGCTGTTCAAGAGAAGCGACTTGCAATGAAAGGTCGTACAAATGTTGGGAAATGGCTTCTTGAGTGTCACTGGAAGCAGAAGCCGAAGATCCCGCTTCAAGGGCCTGGCGAAAGTCCATCCGAGCCCCAGCAAGGCTCTTGCACGGTGCTCTAAGAGCAACACCGGATTACGGAGGACTCGGGCCTGTTAGACGCAAAGCTACAAGCCTCTAGAGAGCCCCTCAAAAATTTTTCTTGCTAAGCGAACACAGCTTGAGCATCACCACCGGCGTGACATGATTCAAAATCGCATTGAGGAAAACATTGCATGTGAGACATTGAAAATAAAAAGCTAAAATGTCTTGGAAACATGACAACGAAAAGCTGCAAGTTCGCTTCGCCTTTGGCTTCGCTAGACCAGGATAAACATTACTGCGCTCCGCTCCGTGGGTCGGTTGTTATCTGTTTTTCCTAAGAACACTCCTCTCAACCAGATAGGGTCGCCTTTCCTATTGGAACGTGTTCCTGAACGATTGGTCAAAACCAAAAGTGATTCGCCGAATTCCGCAAGCTGGCCCTCGTAGGGTCGTCCAGCCATCCATTCATATGGTGTCATTCCTGTACCTGTATGGCGATGGTACCTGTTCAAGGTCCACGCTGCATGCCTGAAAGCCCAACTGAAGATTGGATGAGTGTGAGCAATACAAGTTCCTGTCTTGTGTTCCAGGTGCCTAATCAAGGTAGTTCCTTGTCGCCTAATGGTTTGAATTGCTCTCTCTGCCATGCCGTTGGTTTCCTTCTGGCCACTGACTGCGTCCTGCAAGATTGTTCCTAGACCTAAGGCTGCTCTTTGCTTCTGGATTACCTGCTTCAGCTTCATCATTGTTCCTTCGTTGTCGGCCTTCAAGTTGATGGCTCCATATCCTAGCTGAGTGCTCAAGTAGGTGACTCCTTCACAAAGGTGCTCTACAAGATCTTTTCCTTTAGATGCTGTAGGGCCACTGTAGGGATACAGACCATGTTCCTACTCCAAGAATCAACACACACAAGACTAACTGCTGCTGGTGCCTCATCATGGCTTGTTCCTGTGAAGCAGAAATCCATGCAGAAAGTTGGTCTCGAAGATCTTTCCTTCTCTGGGTTCTCACGAAGATGTGGAGACTCTTTTCCTTTACATGCTACACACGTAGGACACCACGATGCATAAGGCAAGTGTGTGAGATTGTGTACTGCAACTTCCTCTGGGCTTCGGCTGCTTTGGTACCTTGAGGGGTTCTGCCTCAATGTATTCCTTGTACTTCTTCTGGGCTGAAGTAAGCTCCATGTGCCTTTCTGCTTCCATGATTGACCTGCTGAGTCTTCTCAGAATGTCCTGCTTAGATCCGAACTTTGAAACTCCAAGTTCCTTGCAAAGTTCTTTCAGGGCCTTGAGGCTGTTCTGTTGGTTGTACTCATGACCGTTGAAGGTAAATGACAGTTCTCCTGCAAGTTCGTGCCTGTGCGCTGGTGCTTGGGCCTCTGAGGTCTCTTCCTGTTCTTCTTCTTCTTGTTCTGGAATCGTTTCCAGTTGGTGAACCTTCTGTTTTGGTTTCCTGGCCTTGGGGTTCACTGGTGTAATGAGTTCAAATACACTGCGTCCTGTCCAAGATAAACCTCCTAGTGGTTCTGGGTCTCTGTGAGGCTCATCCAAAGTCCAGAACTTATCATCTTCAAAGAAATCCTTGTTGATCGGTTCTTCTCCATGAGTGTACCTGTCTGGTTTGAGATTTCCAATATCTACTGGAATGTCGTTGGTATCTCGAGGATTGAACAACGTCTTTCTCAACGAGTTGTGGTACCTGGTGAGTGTAGTACCATCCATGCTGATTGACCATGCATCCTCAGTGTATTCTTCGAACATCTTGCGATCTTCATCTTCCTTAGGTGTACCTATGAGGGTCAATGGGAATTCCTTGAGCGATACTAGCGTCAATGTTCGATACTCTTTGCTGCCGTCAAAGATTGTTCCAAATGGTTCCTCAAGTTCCTCAAACATGATGCTGTGGTGCAACAGAAACCACTGATCGTCGTCCTCAATAAGTACTGCTCGGTAAGCAAACTTTCCTGGTGGAAACATCAAGTAGGTATCAACGTGCTCTGAAGTTCCTAGGCTGTAGTGGACTTGGTAAGGGTCTCTCCAGTTGGTCCAACCAACACGTTGCTCTTCAATGAGTTCCTTCAGGTTCTCACACAAGTATATGGGGATAGGTCTAGCTTCTGCTTCCCAGTTGACTGCTCTCACAAAGGCTTTTGTTGTAAGTGAGTTGTTGTTGTAGTTCACCGCGATCTTGGTTGTTCCTTCTGTGAGGAAAGTGCCTGTAGTCGTTCCATCTCTGAACTCCCAACCTTTCTTCAACAGTTTACCTACTGCCAAAAGAGGGTGCACAACTGATGAAATCAAGAACACTTCTTCAACCTTCACTATATTTCCTTGAACGTCTCGAAATTCAACCTCAATGATCCTTTGGTCTGAAACCTTGATACGAGATCCTTGTGCGTCTCGCAAAACCACCTTAGTAGTGTTGGGTGCTTTCCTTCCGTACTTCTTCATCCACATTGGTGCCAACGAGATGTCGGCTCCAGAATCCAGCACTACCTCGATTTCTCGAGTCCTTGAGTTCCTTGCTGCACGGACAAACCTTTCAACTCTGTTCCTCCTGGGAGGATGGTGACATCCATACTCGCATTCCTGCATGTTCGGGTGCCAAGGTGTTCCATGACATCCGTTGGGGCATTCGTAGTAGTATCCACGATCTTGAATTCCTACTGGGGTTCCTTCTACATGCCACTGCCACCATGCATCATCACTCACCTCATCACAGTCCTGAAACTCATCATCTTCATCACCAATCCAGTACTCTTCTGCTTCACTCCTCTCTTCCTGAACTTCTTCACCAACAACTCGCAAAACTCTTCCGAAGTACTCAATCTCAATTTCCTCTGAATTTTCACTCATCTCGAATTCCTCCGGAAAGCTTGTGGGCTCGTCTCCCATGTGATACATGGAGACCATCCTAATCACTGGTCTTTGTGTTCCTTGGCTTGTTTGGCTTTGGCTTGTTGAGGTCTTGTTGCTTGAGGAAGGGGCCTGAGTAGAGGTACCTGTAGTGCTTGCCTGTTCACTCTGGTTCTCTAGGTCTATGTTCCTCGCTTGGTAACCCATGTCACGTTGCTTCTGTCTACACTGTGCTTCAAAGTGTCCGTACTTGTGACAATAGTGACAAACTCCTGTAGCTGCTTGAGCTTTTCCTTTACCTTTTCCTTTGGGCCTGTAGAAACCTTTTCCTCGACCTTTGCCTTTTCCTTTGTAACCGTTGTAACCTCTGAATCCTCTACCTCGACCTTTCCAATTGCCTCGACCTCTGCCTTTGCCAAAACCTCCAAAACCTTTTCCTTTACCTTTGCCTTTACCGTCAAATCCGAATCCTTTTCCGAAATCCTTTCCACCTTTCTTGCCTTTACCTTTACCTTTGCCTTTGTTATGAACATAACCTTTGCCATAACCTTTCCTACCTTTGTACCATGCTTGATTGATGTCCATTGCTGCAAGACCACCATGGTCATCACCTTTGTCGATCAAGTCTGTCGTGGTTCGGTGAGGTGTTCCTTGCTGAGCTGACAAAGAGTTAGTCCAACGTTCAGTTGACTCGTAGTTCACAAGGTACTGACGAAGAGCGGTGTACTGAGTCTTCTCGTCCATGTTGAGCAACAGGTGCCTTTTAACATCAGGCTTCATTCCTTGAATGAGAGTAGAAACTTTCAAGTTCTCTTGTACCTTTTCTCCTGTCGCCTTCTCGTACTTCTCAATGTGTTCCTCATATTCGAGGATGTTCTCAGCAATTCCTTTGTTGTGAGCAAACCTATAGTTGAGGATGTTGTGAAACAGTTCCAACGATCTTGCACGATTCGTTGGTTGATATTCCTTCAGCAACATACGGTAGGCTTCCATACCGTTTTCCTCTCCTACATGCTTTACAACACGGTAAGGCCTTCCTTTGGTATATGAACAGAGAACACTGTACAGGCGGCGGCTAGCTTCCTTTGCTTCTCCAGACATCTCACTCATTTTCACTTGCTTATCGTCTTTTATGTTCCTTTCGACGATGTCCATGATCTTCACCATGTTGGAATCTACTGCTCCAAGCCAGATCCGCATCCTGTTCCTGAACTCTGTCCAGCCACTCTTCTCTTCTTGCCATGTTCCTGGGGAAAATGCTTCAGGGCTTTTGATTAGCTTGTGCAACTCCACTTCTCCAGGCTTTCTTTGTTCCTTTACTGCCTTTTCCAGAGATGCTCCTATCTCCTCAAGTGTTGTTGCTGCGTTTGTGTGTGCGTCTGCCAACGCTGTCTGCGCTGCTTTCTGTTGTTCCTGTACTGCTGTGAGTGTCTCCTGAAACGCTTGTGTAAGTCCTGCTTCTCTTTGGCTTCCTGAAGCTGCTGAGTTCCTGATCTCCTCTGCTAGTGTTTGTATTCCTTGCAAAGTCTGTGCATTGATCTCTGCAAGTGTCTTCAATGCATCCTCCATTCCTTTTGCTGCTTCGAGGTTGCTGTACACTAGTGCTGCTAGAAGTAGTGACTTGCACTGCTTCCTGTTCACTGCTTGTGCTCTCCTTTCTCCTCTTGTTTTCCTTTGGTGCTTTGAGCTTCTGCTTGCTCTTGTGAAAAACAAACTAGAATAGTACGACAGGGTGATCCAAGTAATCAGTCCCATTGGGGTTCCTAAGAACACTGCTATGCGAATTCCTTGAAATACAACTCTGTTGGAAATGACTTCCTGAACTATCACATGCACGACGTCGTGAAACTTTCCTACTTCTGCTAGCTTTTCTACGAAACTCTGAACATGTTCCTGTACAAATTTTCTCAATACTTCTCGCTGTTGTTTTACTAGGTACCTAGGGGCGTAGCCTGACTCAAGGCTCTCACTCTCCTGGTTCTCGGTGTTCCGGTCGCCGTTCTTGTTCTCTTCCGTGTAGTACTCGCCGATCACGCTAACGACGCTGTAGAGCTCGTGCATCACTTGACTCGCACACAAAAGGGTGTACGGTACCATTGCTTTTCCGATCTGCACATAGTCCTTGATCGCGTACGCGTTCGTGTTCCTGATCGTGTTCACGTTGGTGCCGTCGGGGTTCACGCTGCACACGTTGTAGCCTTCCTGGTAGTACTCGCCGTACACGTCGTAGTTCCTGTAGCTTGTTGGGTGCGTATTGGGCTTCCTTGCTCCACTCGTCCACACGGCTATGAGTTCGCTTTCGTCGCTCTCCACATACATGAGTTCCTTTCTCCCACGACTCGCATCCTTGGAATACACACTGGTTCCAAGGGCAAGTTCATCCTTGGTTCTTTCCTTGCCAAGGGCCTGCCACGGTGTCACCACCAAACTTCTTGTTCCTGGGACTAAGGTCATCCCGCAAATCGTTGCGAGGCTTCCCAGTGAAAAACCAACCAACAGCACAACACATGCTGCCAGACCGTAGCACTTGACGTTCCTGTACTCCTTCTCTTCCACCAACACTCGGTCGGGAAAGCAATCTGCACACGCGTCGAAGTCTCGAGCGTTTCCTGCTGTCACGTTGTGGTTCCGAAGATGTCCACAACCTCTGCGGTGGTACTTGGTTCCTGAACGTACTGCGATCCTGAGCGTGGGCATGACCAGCACTGTCTCTTTCTTCCTGGTCACTTGTTCATTCGCGCGCATCTGCTTCCATCCGGCAACGAGGCAAACTGCCATGGCGACGAGCAGCATTGTTCCTACTGCTACGAGTAGCATCATCGCTGCCAAGGAGGTTCCTGGAGGCAGCTCCGCTACCATGTTAAAGAACGGGCTTTACTAAGCTTTCCTACTCACTGTCAAGGGCGGACACTTTTCCTGTCAGCGGAGTGTGTCCTGGTAGTCTCGAGCCTGGCACGTCGCGTATGCGTGTCGGCTGTTCCTATGCATTAGCACTGTAGTTCCTGCAGGTGTACTGTCACAGGTGGAATGTTTAACAGTTTTTATCTAATTACTTCTTGAAGGATTGGTGGCTTAGCGGTGAGAAACTCGTATGCAAAAAACCTGCGACTTCCGTCGCCCTTCCTGTTGCCGCAACATTTTGGTCGACACAAGGCCGCGCAAAAAAGAGCTGAGTCCCGCACGCTCCGACTCGGATGCGCCAAACCTGGCAGGACCAATCACGGAAGGTTAAACACGTGCTGTGGCAAAGCAATTCAAACCCATGCCACCATGTTATGCGCAACATGCTGCAAGCACAATTTTGGCTCCGCATCTTCGGAGGATTCAAAGGAGAAGATTACAAATGTCGGGATGACAGGCAGCACAACGCCCGCTGCTTCCGCAGCCAATGGCTCGGTTAACTCGCTCTGCTGGCGAGCCCGCCGGACATCTGCAACTGTTCACTCACGTGCAGGCACGCAATGGTCAGCAGTCAGCTCTCCATTGGTCGCCAGCAAAAAATCATTCGCGGTGGAGACCCTTGACAGGCCAGTGTAGGCAGCAGCTGGCACGCCAGGAGCATCCAAGTACAGGGTGACGTGGGGTAGCTCGATCTGCGCCTTGGAAGCGGCCTACGGTCGAGGCGTAGCCGGGACGCACGGGGTAGTAGACAAGGTTGCCCAGATCCGTGTCCGTCCAAGGCCACACGGGAAAGCGGTGTCCCGTGACGGTCTCCACCCGCAAGGCTGTCGCCTGGGCGTCCCATCCGATGACCCGGCACTGCATCCCGTTCACAAAGTCCACATCTTTGCGGACGTTGCGGGTCAGGTAGACCTTCATATTGATATAGACAGGCATCTTCGTGGGCACCAGCGCGTTCAAGTCCTTGCGCTCCCCCTGGACATAATTCTCGGGGTTGCTCTCCACGTCGGCATCGATCCAAGCCTTGGGTAGGTGTCTAGGGAAGAGGCCCTCCAAAGCCGCATCATTGACGGCTTGAGCTCCTCGCCGGGACACGGTAAGGATGGTGGTCTCGGGCCTGGACTTGAGCAGCTTGCGCACGCCCTCGGGGCTCGGGGCTCCGCCGCCCGACCACGGCTTCTTGGATGCCAGGAACTTCAGGTTCGACTTGTCGGGGCGGGCGGTGCGAAGCTGACTCAGGAGCTTCCAGAAGGCAGGATCTTTGCAGCGGAAGGCTTCGTGGAGCGTCACACGGAAGGTCATGGGGCTCCACCAGCCCGAGTGCCAGGGGCGGCGATCGCCGAAACCCGGCATCTGCCACTTGTCCCCCAGCAGGATGATAACAGTGGAACGGTCCGCGGCATTCCACAACTGCACGATTCTCTCGTATTGCCAAGCGTCCAGCTGCGAAATCTCATCTACGACCACGAGCGAGTAGTGCGCCAAAGTCGGCAAATTGTTGACGTCCTCGTGAAATGCAAACGCCGCGTGGCAGGTGTCGATGTCGATTCGGTCACCATACCGCTCCCGCATTCTACTCGCGAGTTGGGCCTTGGGCAGGGCGAAGAGAACTCGGCCCTCGAGCTGCATGGGCTCGTTCCACGCAGGCGTGACCCACGGTGCTCTTGCCGGTTCCTGGCGGGCCGGTGCAGACGCAGATCTTGTTATTCTCCCAAAGACGCTCCCGCAGTTCATCTGACCTGGACTCCGATTCCGTTGATTGCAGCTCCACCACAACGTCAACGAGGCAGTCCACCTTTTCCTTGAAGAGACGCTGTTCGGTGTTCCACCGGGGGGCTGCGGGAGCTGAAGGCGCCGCTCTCGCGGCGGCCGAGCTCAAAGCTTCTTCGCGAACCGCGCGCTCCGCTGCCGCGTCGTACTTGCCATTCAGATAGTCCAGGACCAGATTGCGGGTGCTGGACACCATGTGCACGATCGTGTCCGTATGCTGCTGGCTGTGCGCCTCCATTTTGAGCTCCTCCCGAATGGCTTCGTCGCTCGACCACATCGCCCTGGCAACAGGATGACTGCAGAATACCGCCCAGGCAAAATTCCTGTGTGCGGCCGGGACTTTGCTGGCAATCTCGACGTTTATGAGGTCTTCCACCCGCCGGAACGGCACGTGCAGCACGAGCCATTGGCCGTACCAGTGGTCGTTCAGCCGGGAGACCATGTCCGCCGCAACCAGTTTCTGACCGCGCACACGGAAAGCGGCCGCAAACTCCTCGATGCTTTCGGTCGCCTTGCGCTCCTTGTGCTCCTTCTTGATGTAGGCCAAGATCTCTCCTCGTGCGTTGGTTTTCCTCAGAAAGTCTAGCAGGCTGATGCGTCCCCGCGCCCAGGAAGCCGCCTCGTAGGCCTCGATCTCGATCGGCTTGCTAGAAGCTGCTACTGCTTTTTCTGGCCATGGGACCTGGAAGTAGCGCTTGCCGCGGGAGATCGTCGTGACATGCCACTGACGAAATCGCTGGCCGAAAAGCTGCAGTACCATTTCCGGCTCAAGCGGCTTGTAACGCATCAGCACCGTTGCAGCAATGCTAGTGGCGTCTGCGAAGTCGTTCAGCCACTCATCAGAAGCGGAGTCCGAGAACTTGGACACGTATTTTGTCACGTAAGCACGGAGGACTCCCGCGTCGTCGGCGAACTGCCAATCTTGATGACACTTCAGCACGTCCATGATGTCGCTGACGAAGGCCCGCAGGCCCAGCTTCTTGTCCTCCTGCGTGTGGTGCAGGTGGAGCTTGTGATTCTCTGCGTCGTAGAAGGAGGTTCCATCGAACAGGGGCCAACCGCTCTTGCCTTGCCGATCCAGTTGCGAGCATTGCGAGCCGCGGACGTACCCCTGCAGGTTGGAGCTGTCGGGAAGGGTGGCAACCAGCTTCTCTTCGAGGCGCAGCTGTGGCACATCGGCGTCATCCACGAAGAACAGCGCATGCACATGGACTCGTCCGGAGCCATGGTACTCTTGAGAGGCAGGCTTCCGGTGACCGTCTTGAAATTCCAGCCTCGTGAACGCATGCACACGCTTCTTCTTTCCGTGCTCATCGGTCACCTGGAACAGCTCGGATTTCCAGGGCGGTTTGCTAGCCGTGCTTCCCACCATCAAGCCGCGAACCGTCTGCAGGAGAACGTGAGTAATGTGGAGGGTTTCCAGCACCGGCAGCTCCAACCTGGCCTTCAACTTCTTGGCCATGACGTCCCGCAGGGCGACGTGATATGGGAAGCTCCACTCGTAGGGGGCCAACGTGAAGAACAGCTTCGGGTAGCCGAGCTGCCGGACGGCGTCCAACAAGGTGAAGTGAACCTCTTTCCAATAAAGCGGACTGAAGCTGTTGCCTTTCATCATGACACGCATGGGGACCCCGGAGCCTAAGTTCTTTTTGGATCCCAAGTCAGACCAGAGATGAAGGTCGTAGACGAACTGCAGGATGGTGAACTCCGAGCTGTAATCTAGCAGCGGCCCGAAGGCCAGACGCTGGAAACGCCGCTTCACGGAGTGTCGCAGCATGGAGTGCTCCTGTTCCTCCTCCTCCTCGTCCGAGCTATCGTTCTCGACCCCGCCGCCAGGAAGCACCCGCTGTCTCTTGCGGGCCTGGCCATGGAGAACTTGTTCCAAGGTCTCCTTGCTCTGGCGCGCCAGCCTGCGCGGATCGGAAGCTCGTTCATGGGTAAAGGTCATGTCGGTCCTCCAGAAAAGCCAGGGCCACAAGGCGCACTCCAGACCCACCCGTTCCAAGAACTGCAGACGGCGACGTCGCTGTCTTTCGTCCGCGTTTGGATTCTCCGCCAGGTAGCTCTCGTGCTCCGAGACATAGATGTGGTAGGCGCAGTCTGCATCATGAGCCATGAGATACTGGAACGCATCCTTGGCCTGACGGCGCTCTGCACGGGGCAACTCCTTGATAGCCTTTTTGACGGACAGGGGCTTCCACCGAAAGCGCATCATGGTGCTATGCTGGCGGTACCCAGTGGCGTAGCCGCCACGGTTCTGCGCCCGAACCACAGGGCCAACATCGATCTCCAACGGAGATAATGCAGCGCGCGCTGCCTCTGGCAGCCGACGCAGTGCTTCGGGCACGTCCTGCAAGGTAGATACGGGGAACTCCGTAGCCCGTCGGCACTGCCCACAGGCCTTAACAGACAAGTGCACAGCGGGATTCTTCCTCAGTGTCTGCTCGTTCAAGTCTCGAGGCGCCAAGGAGTGGCAATTCGAACAGAGGGACCAGGAGTGATATTCGCACCAGCGTTCAAAATTGCAGGCCAGCTCGCTCACGCTGGCAGCAGGAAGGCTGGAATCATTCTGGATGCTCCCTGGCTGCTGCCGGCCACGCTTTCTTGGCGGCTGCCCTGCCTCAATCGCTTCTGCAGGAGTTGCCAGCTGGCGCCGTGCACGGGCCTGGTCGGCCAGCACCTTATCCCGGTACTTCGCGAGCACGGGAGAGTCCTCGGGGGCGGCGTTGGCAACTCTCTTCTTCAAGGCTTCTGCCCATTGCTGATGCAGTTCGGCAGTGGTGGTAGCCTGCGGCTGTCGTCGCCGTGGTACTGCAGGAGCAGTGTAATCTTGCAGACATCGCTGCACAGTGGCTCGATGCATCTCGGGCACACGGTCGAGAGCTCTGCCGCGAGATTCTTCTGACATCTTGCTCAATTTGTCGGCAAGTTGTTGGATTCCTTTGGTATTGCTGCAGGCTTGCGCGAGAGCTGCCGGGTCGCACACCGTGCAGAGAGGCTTCTTACCCAGGAGTTGCGCTGGACGGCCAGATGTGGAGGCTGCGAAGATACAAGGTTCGCCTTCTGTGCCAGGGCAATCATGAGGAAGTCGAGCCATATCGAAATGTGCGCGGAACTCCTCCGGCACACGTTGCAAGGCTCGGGCCCTCAGCTCAGGAGAGAGGCGATGAAGAAGCGACGCCAGCTGGCCGCGGCCGACAGCGGAGAGGCATGCGCCCTGCATGCGCTCCGAATCACAGAACAGGCAACGCTGATGAGCAGCGCCGACGCGAGCTTTGCGTCCACATTGACTGGGCGAGAACTCACAGGGCTCTCCATGGATCCCTAAGCATAGGCGCGGCATGGCTTCAGATGCCAAAGAAGAGAGCTAACCTGAGACCAAGCGTCTGCAGACACGCAGATGACCATTACCAAGGCACAGCACGCAGGCAAGCGAAAGAAGCTCATCACCCGAAGCTTGCTGCCGCCTTGTGCTGGAGGCGAGAATGGCGTGTCGCATCATGTACGGCAGCCCGAAGGCCGACCTTGCACCAGCAAGAAACACTGTTGCATGAAGACTATAGTCGTGCTTGGGCACCACTTCCAGAGGATCGCAGAGTCGGCCTGTTTTGCTCTAGCTTCAATCCCGAGCGGCAGTTGCACGAATTGGTGAGACGCCTAGCCCAACAAACAGTATATAGCTTGAAGCAACAAAACAGCGTTGGGCATGCCCGGCCTGAGAGGGTTCCCCCCCAGCACCGGGGAGGCAAGGTGTTGAGTCTGCCGACACGCTGCTCCTGACCCGAGCGGTTAGTGGGTCGTGCTTCGCACCCGGCGTTCGGCCCACGAGCCGCCGCGCTGTCGCGGGACCCGGTCCGCACCGTAGGGAGGCCGATGCGCCTCGGCAGGGACCCTCGCACCTACTTTTAAAGGTTTTCTGAAAAACCAAGGTGTCTGCATTCGCAATTTTCGGGCGCACGAACGCGAAGGCAAAAAAAGCGCCCAAAAGCGCACCCAAAAAAAACGGCTACTGCTCCGGGAATAGGAACAGTGCCACAAATTTCGCCCCCCACGGACACGCAAAAACCCGAAAAAGCACAGGGCAGGCCGTCACGCGCGTCACGCGCGTCACGCGGAGACGCGTGAGAAACGTCACGCGCGTCACGCGCGTTCGGCCGAAAAGGCCGTCACGCACGGCCGCGTGACGCGCATGACGCGCGTGACGTCGGGCTCCTGGGCACCCGGCGCGCGTGACACGCGTGACGCGCGTGACGCGCGTGACGCGCGGGACCAGTACTGGTCCCGGGGAGAACGTGTCCCGGTACCGGGCCTAACGTGGGTGCTACAGTACCCCTGGCTGTGAGACGGCGGGCGAGCGTGCTGGATCGACCTGCGCCATCGATGTCGAAGGGCATAAGCGCCGCCCACCATCGAAGGTGGGCGGCCTAGGCCCTGAGTTTAGGGTTTAGGGTTTAGGGTTTAGGGTGTGTCGATGCTCCGCGCACACCACCACGCGAGACGTGTAGTGTGGTGTGCGCCTAGGTTCAACGCTCTCGCCCTACCCGCCCGCCCAGTCTATGACCTTTGTCGGGTTTAGGGTTTTTATCTAATTACTTCTTGAAGGATTGGTGGCTTAGCGGTGAGAAACTCGTATGCAAAAAACCTGCGACTTCCGTCGCCCTTCCTGTTGCCGCAACATTTTGGTCGACACAAGGCCGCGCAAAAAAAAGCTGAGTCCCGCACGCTCCGACTCGGATGCGCCAAACCTGGCAGGACCAATCACGGAAGGTTAAACACGTGCTGTGGCAAAGCAATTCAAACCCATGCCACCATGTTATGCGCAACATGCTGCAAGCACAATTTTGGCTCCGCATCTTCGGAGGATTCAAAGGAGAAGATTACAAATGTCGGGATGACAGGCAGCACAACGCCCGCTGCTTCCGCAGCCAATGGCTCGGTTAACTCGCTCTGCTGGCGAGCCCGCCGGACATCTGCAACTGTTCACTCACGTGCAGGCACGCAATGGTCAGCAGTCAGCTCTCCATTGGTCGCCAGCAAAAAATCATTCGCGGTGGAGACCCTTGACAGGCCAGTGTAGGCAGCAGCTGGCACGCCAGGAGCATCCAAGTACAGGGTGACGTGGGGTAGCTCTGCGCCTTGGAAGCGGCCTACGGTCGAGGCGTAGCCGGGACGCACGGGGTAGTAGACAAGGTTGCCCAGATCCGTGTCCGTCCAAGGCCACACGGGAAAGCGGTGTCCCGTGACGGTCTCCACCCGCAAGGCTGTCGCCTGGGCGTCCCATCCGATGACCCGGCACTGCATCCCGTTCACAAAGTCCACATCTTTGCGGACGTTGCGGGTCAGGTAGACCTTCATATTGATATAGACAGGCATCTTCGTGGGCACCAGCGCGTTCAAGTCCTTGCGCTCCCCCTGGACATAATTCTCGGGGTTGCTCTCCACGTCGGCATCGATCCAAGCCTTGGGTAGGTGTCTAGGGAAGAGGCCCTCCAAAGCCGCATCATTGACGGCTTGAGCTCCTCGCCGGGACACGGTAAGGATGGTGGTCTCGGGCCTGGACTTGAGCAGCTTGCGCACGCCCTCGGGGCTCGGGGCTCCGCCGCCCGACCACGGCTTCTTGGATGCCAGGAACTTCAGGTTCGACTTGTCGGGGCGGGCGGTGCGAAGCTGACTCAGGAGCTTCCAGAAGGCAGGATCTTTGCAGCGGAAGGCTTCGTGGAGCGTCACACGGAAGGTCATGGGGCTCCACCAGCCCGAGTGCCAGGGGCGGCGATCGCCGAAACCCGGCATCTGCCACTTGTCCCCCAGCAGGATGATAACAGTGGAACGGTCCGCGGCATTCCACAACTGCACGATTCTCTCGTATTGCCAAGCGTCCAGCTGCGAAATCTCATCTACGACCACGAGCGAGTAGTGCGCCAAAGTCGGCAAATTGTTGACGTCCTCGTGAAATGCAAACGCCGCGTGGCAGGTGTCGATGTCGATTCGGTCACCATACCGCTCCCGCATTCTACTCGCGAGTTGGGCCTTGGGCAGGGCGAAGAGAACTCGGCCCTCGAGCTGCAGGGCTCGTTCCACGCAGGCGTGACCCACGGTGCTCTTGCCGGTTCCTGGCGGGCCGGTGCAGACGCAGATCTTGTTATTCTCCCAAAGACGCTCCCGCAGTTCATCTGACCTGGACTCCGATTCCGTTGATTGCAGCTCCACCACAACGTCAACGAGGCAGTCCACCTTTTCCTTGAAGAGACGCTGTTCGGTGTTCCACCGGGGGGCTGCGGGAGCTGAAGGCGCCGCTCTCGCGGCGGCCGAGCTCAAAGCTTCTTCGCGAACCGCGCGCTCCGCTGCCGCGTCGTACTTGCCATTCAGATAGTCCAGGACCAGATTGCGGGTGCTGGACACCATGTGCACGATCGTGTCCGTATGCTGCTGGCTGTGCGCCTCCATTTTGAGCTCCTCCCGAATGGCTTCGTCGCTCGACCACATCGCCCTGGCAACAGGATGACTGCAGAATACCGCCCAGGCAAAATTCCTGTGTGCGGCCGGGACTTTGCTGGCAATCTCGACGTTTATGAGGTCTTCCACCCGCCGGAACGGCACGTGCAGCACGAGCCATTGGCCGTACCAGTGGTCGTTCAGCCGGGAGACCATGTCCGCCGCAACCAGTTTCTGACCGCGCACACGGAAAGCGGCCGCAAACTCCTCGATGCTTTCGGTCGCCTTGCGCTCCTTGTGCTCCTTCTTGATGTAGGCCAAGATCTCTCCTCGTGCGTTGGTTTTCCTCAGAAAGTCTAGCAGGCTGATGCGTCCCCGCGCCCAGGAAGCCGCCTCGTAGGCCTCGATCTCGATCGGCTTGCTAGAAGCTGCTACTGCTTTTTCTGGCCATGGGACCTGGAAGTAGCGCTTGCCGCGGGAGATCGTCGTGACATGCCACTGACGAAATCGCTGGCCGAAAAGCTGCAGTACCATTTCCGGCTCAAGCGGCTTGTAACGCATCAGCACCGTTGCAGCAATGCTAGTGGCGTCTGCGAAGTCGTTCAGCCACTCATCAGAAGCGGAGTCCGAGAACTTGGACACGTATTTTGTCACGTAAGCACGGAGGACTCCCGCGTCGTCGGCGAACTGCCAATCTTGATGACACTTCAGCACGTCCATGATGTCGCTGACGAAGGCCCGCAGGCCCAGCTTCTTGTCCTCCTGCGTGTGGTGCAGGTGGAGCTTGTGATTCTCTGCGTCGTAGAAGGAGGTTCCATCGAACAGGGGCCAACCGCTCTTGCCTTGCCGATCCAGTTGCGAGCCGCGGACGTACCCCTGCAGGTTGGAGCTGTCGGGAAGGGTGGCAACCAGCTTCTCTTCGAGGCGCAGCTGTGGCACATCGGCGTCATCCACGAAGAACAGCGCATGCACATGGACTCGTCCGGAGCCATGGTACTCTTGAGAGGCAGGCTTCCGGTGACCGTCTTGAAATTCCAGCCTCGTGAACGCATGCACACGCTTCTTCTTTCCGTGCTCATCGGTCACCTGGAACAGCTCGGATTTCCAGGGCGGCTTGCTAGCCGTGCTTCCCACCATCAAGCCGCGAACCGTCTGCAGGAGAACGTGAGTAATGTGGAGGGTTTCCAGCACCGGCAGCTCCAACCTGGCCTTCAACTTCTTGGCCATGACGTCCCGCAGGGCGACGTGATATGGGAAGCTCCACTCGTAGGGGGCCAACGTGAAGAACAGCTTCGGGTAGCCGAGCTGCCGGACGGCGTCCAACAAGGTGAAGTGAACCTCTTTCCAATAAAGCGGACTGAAGCTGTTGCCTTTCATCATGACACGCATGGGGACCCCGGAGCCTAAGTTCTTTTTGGATCCCAAGTCAGACCAGAGATGAAGGTCGTAGACGAACTGCAGGATGGTGAACTCCGAGCTGTAATCTAGCAGCGGCCCGAAGGCCAGACGCTGGAAACGCCGCTTCACGGAGTGTCGCAGCATGGAGTGCTCCTGTTCCTCCTCCTCCTCCTCGTCCGAGCTATCGTTCTCGACCCCGCCGCCAGGAAGCACCCGCTGTCTCTTGCGGGCCTGGCCATGGAGAACTTGTTCCAAGGTCTCCTTGCTCTGGCGCGCCAGCCTGCGCGGATCGGAAGCTCGTTCATGGGTAAAGGTCATGTCGGTCCTCCAGAAAAGCCAGGGCCACAAGGCGCACTCCAGACCCACCCGTTCCAAGAACTGCAGACGGCGACGTCGCTGTCTTTCGTCCGCGTTTGGATTCTCCGCCAGGTAGCTCTCGTGCTCCGAGACATAGATGTGGTAGGCGCAGTCTGCATCATGAGCCATGAGATACTGGAACGCATCCTTGGCCTGACGGCGCTCTGCACGGGGCAACTCCTTGATAGCCTTTTTGACGGACAGGGGCTTCCACCGAAAGCGCATCATGGTGCTATGCTGGCGGTACCCAGTGGCGTAGCCGCCACGGTTCTGCGCCCGAACCACAGGGCCAACATCGATCTCCAACGGAGATAATGCAGCGCGCGCTGCCTCTGGCAGCCGACGCAGTGCTTCGGGCACGTCCTGCAAGGTAGAAACGGGGAACTCCGTAGCCCGTCGGCACTGCCCACAGGCCTTAACAGACAAGTGCACAGCGGGATTCTTCCTCAGTGTCTGCTCGTTCAAGTCTCGAGGCGCCAAGGAGTGGCAATTCGAACAGAGGGACCAGGAGTGATATTCGCACCAGCGTTCAAAATTGCAGGCCAGCTCGCTCACGCTGGCAGCAGGAAGGCTGGAATCATTCTGGATGCTCCCTGGCTGCTGCCGGCCACGCTTTCTTGGCGGCTGCCCTGCCTCAATCGCTTCTGCAGGAGTTGCCAGCTGGCGCCGTGCACGGGCCTGGTCGGCCAGCACCTTATCCCGGTACTTCGCGAGCACGGGAGAGTCCTCGGGGGCGGCGTTGGCAACTCTCTTCTTCAAGGCTTCTGCCCATTGCTGATGCAGTTCGGCAGTGGTGGTAGCCTGCGGCTGTCGTCGCCGTGGTACTGCAGGAGCAGTGTAATCTTGCAGACATCGCTGCACAGTGGCTCGATGCATCTCGGGCACACGGTCGAGAGCTCTGCCGCGAGATTCTTCTGACATCTTGCTCAATTTGTCGGCAAGTTGTTGGATTCCTTTGGTATTGCTGCAGGCTTGCGCGAGAGCTGCCGGGTCGCACACCGTGCAGAGAGGCTTCTTACCCAGGAGTTGCGCTGGACGGCCAGATGTGGAGGCTGCGAAGATACAAGGTTCGCCTTCTGTGCCAGGGCAATCATGAGGAAGTCGAGCCATATCGAAATGTGCGCGGAACTCCTCCGGCACACGTTGCAAGGCTCGGGCCCTCAGCTCAGGAGAGAGGCGATGAAGAAGCGACGCCAGCTGGCCGCGGCCGACAGCGGAGAGGCATGCGCCCTGCATGCGCTCCGAATCACAGAACAGGCAACGCTGATGAGCAGCGCCGACGCGAGCTTTGCGTCCACATTGACTGGGCGAGAACTCACAGGGCTCTCCATGGATCCCTAAGCATAGGCGCGGCATGGCTTCAGATGCCAAAGAAGAGAGCTAACCTGAGACCAAGCGTCTGCAGACACGCAGATGACCATTACCAAGGCACAGCACGCAGGCAAGCGAAAGAAGCTCATCACCCGAAGCTTGCTGCCGCCTTGTGCTGGAGGCGAGAATGGCGTGTCGCATCATGTACGGCAGCCCGAAGGCCGACCTTGCACCAGCAAGAAACACTGTTGCATGAAGACTATAGTCGTGCTTGGGCACCACTTCCAGAGGATCGCAGAGTCGGCCTGTTTTGCTCTAGCTTCAATCCCGAGCGGCAGTTGCACGAATTGGTGAGACGCCTAGCCCATGCGTTCCAGTATCTCATGGCTCATGATGCAGACTGCGCCTACCACATCTATGTCTCGGAGCACGAGAGCTACCTGGCGGAGAATCCAAACGCGGACGAAAGACAGCGACGTCGCCGTCTGCAGTTCTTGGAACGGGTGGGTCTGGAGTGCGCCTTGTGGCCCTGGCTTTTCTGGAGGACCGACATGACCTTTACCCATGAACGAGCTTCCGATCCGCGCAGGCTGGCGCGCCAGAGCAAGGAGACCTTGGAACAAGTTCTCCATGGCCAGGCCCGCAAGAGACAGCGGGTGCTTCCTGGCGGCGGGGTCGAGAACGATAGCTCGGACGAGGAGGAGGAGGAACAGGAGCACTCCATGCTGCGACACTCCGTGAAGCGGCGTTTCCAGCGTCTGGCCTTCGGGCCGCTGCTAGATTACAGCTCGGAGTTCACCATCCTGCAGTTCGTCTACGACCTTCATCTCTGGTCTGACTTGGGATCCAAAAAGAACTTAGGCTCCGGGGTCCCCATGCGTGTCATGATGAAAGGCAACAGCTTCAGTCCGCTTTATTGGAAAGAGGTTCACTTCACCTTGTTGGACGCCGTCCGGCAGCTCGGCTACCCGAAGCTGTTCTTCACGTTGGCCCCCTACGAGTGGAGCTTCCCATATCACGTCGCCCTGCGGGACGTCATGGCCAAGAAGTTGAAGGCCAGGTTGGAGCTGCCGGTGCTGGAAACCCTCCACATTACTCACGTTCTCCTGCAGACGGTTCGCGGCTTGATGGTGGGAAGCACGGCTAGCAAGCCGCCCTGGAAATCCGAGCTGTTCCAGGTGACCGATGAGCACGGAAAGAAGAAGCGTGTGCATGCGTTCACGAGGCTGGAATTTCAAGACGGTCACCGGAAGCCTGCCTCTCAAGAGTACCATGGCTCCGGACGAGTCCATGTGCATGCGCTGTTCTTCGTGGATGACGCCGATGTGCCACAGCTGCGCCTCGAAGAGAAGCTGGTTGCCACCCTTCCCGACAGCTCCAACCTGCAGGGGTACGTCCGCGGCTCGCAACTGGATCGGCAAGGCAAGAGCGGTTGGCCCCTGTTCGATGGAACCTCCTTCTACGACGCAGAGAATCACAAGCTCCACCTGCACCACACGCAGGAGGACAAGAAGCTGGGCCTGCGGGCCTTCGTCAGCGACATCATGGACGTGCTGAAGTGTCATCAAGATTGGCAGTTCGCCGACGACGCGGGAGTCCTCCGTGCTTACGTGACAAAATACGTGTCCAAGTTCTCGGACTCCGCTTCTGATGAGTGGCTGAACGACTTCGCAGACGCCACTAGCATTGCTGCAACGGTGCTGATGCGTTACAAGCCGCTTGAGCCGGAAATGGTACTGCAGCTTTTCGGCCAGCGATTTCGTCAGTGGCATGTCACGACGATCTCCCGCGGCAAGCGCTACTTCCAGGTCCCATGGCCAGAAAAAGCAGTAGCAGCTTCTAGCAAAACCAACGCACGAGGAGAGATCTTGGCCTACATCAAGAAGGAGCACAAGGAGCGCAAGGCGACCGAAAGCATCGAGGAGTTTGCGGCCGCTTTCCGTGTGCGCGGTCAGAAACTGGTTGCGGCGGACATGGTCTCCCGGCTGAACGACCACTGGTACGGCCAATGGCTCGTGCTGCACGTGCCGTTCCGGCGGGTGGAAGACCTCATAAACGTCGAGATTGCCAGCAAAGTCCCGGCCGCACACAGGAATTTTGCCTGGGCGGTATTCTGCAGTCATCCTGTTGCCAGGGCGATGTGGTCGAGCGACGAAGCCATTCGGGAGGAGCTCAAAATGGAGGCGCACAGCCAGCAGCATACGGACACGATCGTGCACATGGTGTCCAGCACCCGCAATCTGGTCCTGGACTATCTGAATGGCAAGTACGACGCGGCAGCGGAGCGCGCGGTTCGCGAAGAAGCTTTGAGCTCGGCCGCCGCGAGAGCGGCGCCTTCAGCTCCCGCAGCCCCCCGGTGGAACACCGAACAGCGTCTCTTCAAGGAAAAGGTGGACTGCCTCGTTGACGTTGTGGTGGAGCTGCAATCAACGGAATCGGAGTCCAGGTCAGATGAACTGCGGGAGCGTCTTTGGGAGAATAACAAGATCTGCGTCTGCACCGGCCCGCCAGGAACCGGCAAGAGCACCGTGGGTCACGCCTGCGTGGAACGAGCCCTGCAGCTCGAGGGCCGAGTTCTCTTCGCCCTGCCCAAGGCCCAACTCGCGAGTAGAATGCGGGAGCGGTATGGTGACCGAATCGACATCGACACCTGCCACGCGGCGTTTGCATTTCACGAGGACGTCAACAATTTGCCGACTTTGGCGCACTACTCGCTCGTGGTCGTAGATGAGATTTCGCAGCTGGACGCTTGGCAATACGAGAGAATCGTGCAGTTGTGGAATGCCGCGGACCGTTCCACTGTTATCATCCTGCTGGGGGACAAGTGGCAGATGCCGGGTTTCGGCGATCGCCGCCCCTGGCACTCGGGCTGGTGGAGCCCCATGACCTTCCGTGTGACGCTCCACGAAGCCTTCCGCTGCAAAGATCCTGCCTTCTGGAAGCTCCTGAGTCAGCTTCGCACCGCCCGCCCCGACAAGTCGAACCTGAAGTTCCTGGCATCCAAGAAGCCGTGGTCGGGCGGCGGAGCCCCGAGCCCCAAGGGCGTGCGCAAGCTGCTCAAGTCCAGGCCCGAGACCACCATCCTTACCGTGTCCCGGCGAGGAGCTCAAGCCGTCAATGATGCGGCTTTGGAGGGCCTCTTCCCTAGACACCTACCCAAGGCTTGGATCGATGCCGACGTGGAGAGCAACCCCGAGAATTATGTCCAGGGGGAGCGCAAGGACTTGAACGCGCTGGTGCCCACGAAGATGCCTGTCTATATCAATATGAAGGTCTACCTGACCCGCAACGTCCGCAAAGATGTGGACTTTGTGAACGGGATGCAGTGCCGGGTCATCGGATGGGACGCCCAGGCGACAGCCTTGCGGGTGGAGACCGTCACGGGACACCGCTTTCCCGTGTGGCCTTGGACGGACACGGATCTGGGCAACCTTGTCTACTACCCCGTGCGTCCCGGCTACGCCTCGACCGTAGGCCGCTTCCAAGGCGCAGAGCTACCCCACGTCACCCTGTACTTGGATGCTCCTGGCGTGCCAGCTGCTGCCTACACTGGCCTGTCAAGGGTCTCCACCGCGAATGATTTTTTGCTGGCGACCAATGGAGAGCTGACTGCTGACCATTGCGTGCCTGCACGTGAGTGAACAGTTGCAGATGTCCGGCGGGCTCGCCAGCAGAGCGAGTTAACCGAGCCATTGGCTGCGGAAGCAGCGGGCGTTGTGCTGCCTGTCATCCCGACATTTGTAATCTTCTCCTTTGAATCCTCCGAAGATGCGGAGCCAAAATTGTGCTTGCAGCATGTTGCGCCGATGCTCCGCGCACACCACCACGCAAGACGTGCAGTGTGGTGTGCGCCTAGGTTCAACGCTCTCGCCCTACCCGCCCGCCCAGTCTATGACCTTTGTCGGGTTTAGGGTTTTTATCTAATTACTTCTTGAAGGATTGGTGGCTTAGCGGTGAGAAACTCGTATGCAAAAAACCTGCGACTTCCGTCGCCCTTCCTGTTGCCGCAACATTTTGGTCGACACAAGGCCGCGCAAAAAAGAGCTGAGTCCCGCACGCTCCGACTCGGATGCGCCAAACCTGGCAGGACCAATCACGGAAGGTTAAACACGTGCTGTGGCAAAGCAATTCAAACCCATGCCACCATGTTATGCGCAACATGCTGCAAGCACAATTTTGGCTCCGCATCTTCGGAGGATTCAAAGGAGAAGATTACAAATGTCGGGATGACAGGCAGCACAACGCCCGCTGCTTCCGCAGCCAATGGCTCGGTTAACTCGCTCTGCTGGCGAGCCCGCCGGACATCTGCAACTGTTCACTCACGTGCAGGCACGCAATGGTCAGCAGTCAGCTCTCCATTGGTCGCCAGCAAAAAATCATTCGCGGTGGAGACCCTTGACAGGCCAGTGTAGGCAGCAGCTGGCACGCCAGGAGCATCCAAGTACAGGGTGACGTGGGGTAGCTCTGCGCCTTGGAAGCGGCCCACGGTCGAGGCGTAGCCGGGACGCACGGGGTAGTAGACAAGGTTGCCCAGATCCGTGTCCGTCCAAGGCCACACGGGAAAGCGGTGTCCCGTGACGGTCTCCACCCGCAAGGCTGTCGCCTGGGCGTCCCATCCGATGACCCGGCACTGCATCCCGTTTCACAAAGTCCACATCTTTGCGGACGTTGCGGGTCAGGTAGACCTTCATATTGATATAGACAGGCATCTTCGTGGGCACCAGCGCGTTCAAGTCCTTGCGCTCCCCCTGGACATAATTCTCGGGATTGCTCTCCACGTCGGCATCGATCCAAGCCTTGGGTAGGTGTCTAGGGAAGAGGCCTTCCAAAGCCGCATCATTGACGGCTTGAGCTCCTCGCCAGGACACGGTAAGGATGGTGGTCTCGGGCCTGGACTTGAGCAGCTTGCGCACGCCCTCGGGGCT